TATTCACTCATTGGCCTCTTGAAAAATGACTTTCCAGAGGAACTCATTTACTTTTTTAGTCTTTCCACTTTTTTCCTGAGCAGTAGCAGTGATGATGCACCTAGTCGCTGAGGAATAAAAATTCTTGTTCACGCTAAACATGTTCATCCATCGAGTCTCCATGTCGGCATGGCTCCAATTTCAACTCGTTAATTAAAAAGTTTCCGGTCCATTCCACCGTATCATGGTTAATCTCAGAGCGATCATTCAAATCAACCGAGTGGCTTTCCAAAAACATCCAACTTCATTTCAATTGCTAATTGATCTTGGTTCATCATTGTCCTTCATCGTATCGTTAGATTATCCGGAATGGCAAAGATGAAACCCCGGATGAAAGATAATTTTTTATTTCTTCTTTCTCAATATTATTATTTCTTGAAACATAGTCGTTTGTGGGCAATCCTTACCGCAACGTCACGTCGGCTCCTTTGGATCCAGCGTTTTTTATCCATCGTCGCCGTCAATTTTTAAGGGCTCTCCGAGATTGCTAATTGATTAATCATGATCCTCTATATAAGCCCTGCGGCATCTCTACGTGGCTTTCCATTACTTTTTTCGACTGGCTGCGACCAAAGTAGGAGCAAGAAAAATGAGAGGCGGACGTTGATGAAAAACTCCAAAATCGTCCCATCGTCCCATCGTCCCATCGTCCCATCGTCCCATCGTCCCATCGTTCGTCGATGATTCATAAAAAGATATCCAATGGGGAGAGTTTATAACTCACACAGGTCATCCGTTGTTGAAATTTCCTATTCATCCACGGTATTTTCATAATTTCCATCAATGTCATCACATCTTCACGCTCAATGAGTTAATTGCCTATAAATTTTCCATTTATAAAGCTATTAATATGCGTAAATCATTCAATTATAATAAAGCAGTGAATGAGAAATAATGAGACAAAAGTCGCAGTCGCAGTCACAGACGCAGTGTTACGGCATCAAATCACCTGAGAGTCTTGATGAGACCATCTTAATGTGGTACAAACCCACGGACATTAGTTGCACACGCAGAAAATCTTAATCATCGACGGGCACAGGTTTCTTTTATACCAGATTGCTCTAAACTCAGCCAACGATTGGCCAAGGGGCGTTCAAAGAGTGCCGCCATGACTAGCTAGGAACGTCTTTTGTTTGTGAAACAATGGCGTGCAAGGTGAGGCCCTCACTTAGCAAAGTCTCCGCCACTCTGGCCTCAATGACAAACTTCCTCCAGGAGTATTTAATCTATTAGCTAAATTAGCAGCTCTTGGCTTTTTTTCTCACAAGAAGGTGTTCTAACGCCAACGTTTCACCAGGGCTTGATCCTTAAGCCGTTTAACCTATCGCATCATCAGCAATCCCGCCTACGGATCAAATCCTACCAGCTCAGAAGGCAGTCAATGGTCTTCTACTATAGCTGGCCCAGATCATCGTCGTTGATATCTCAAAGCCCCAATTAAATAATTACCTGCAGGCCACCGATTTTCCCTCCATTCGATTTGGCCCGTCTTCGGAAACCTGCTCCAATACCCACCAGGCTTTCCCCGCCTTAATTTCACTCCTAAGATGTCTATCACCAAGGGATTCTTCACGCAAATGGATATCCTGCTATTCATTCATTCATTTTTTTTTTCTTCCTTCTTCTCCCCTCTCCTAGTCACCATATCACACCGCTCTTTGATCAATTACAGCTCTCATTACAATTAGCGTCAGTCATATTGAATGATGGAGTGTAGAACACTGGCATTTTTAATGTCACCCTGTCGCTCACGCGACCGGCTTTGCCATTTGACTACGATGACGACTAGTAATTAGCCGACGGAATACTCACATTATTCACACGATACGTTCAATTCAAGTACTACACGCAGAAGGTGAAGCTTCGTTGAGGTTATACCAATTTCCTTTCAGTCCGTCTAAGATCATTTGATTATTCACACTTGGTGAGAAATAGTCTGAACAGCAAGTGGTGGAGAAAAAATTTCATTTATGGTTTATAACTTTTCGTCCCACGAGGATTACTCCGTTGATAAGTCGGATATGAAGATCTCCTCGGTGGTTGCCGATAAGTTACCCAATCCTGTAACTTATCGCATCGGATAAATAAATATCTTGGGACTCTAGGTGTCCAGCAGTTGGTACTTTATCGGCAATAAAAATTCTCTCATCAGTAACGAGGATTTCTTCTGAATGACCAGAGGACCCTGTGCTTGAACGATTCTTAGGAAGAGCGGAGGGGCATCCTGGGGCAGTTCAATATGGTGAGCAATAAAGTTTGAATGTCTAAAAAAATTTGACTGGATGATTGGGGAAGAGGGATAAATAAAAGTAACGATAATGTAAACGGAATAACAATCGTGTAAGGTCGGCTGTCACTCAGTTTTCGAAATGAGCGAGGCTCGCGCCACCGGGCGTGTTTGCATGCCAGTCACTCATGTGTTTCTACCGATGCCTCGTCGTTTATTTTTCCAAAATGAACGATAAAACATTGCCGCAGAACCCTCCCAGTAATTTGACGCCTATTTATAGATGAAACGACGTTTGAATATTTAACGAAATAATTGAGTGTTGCGGCGAGCTGAGATTGTCACTTGATGCAACAGTTTCAATTAAAATGCTTTTCCCTCTCATTGTTTGAAAGGAGTGCACAGTGGAGATGGAAAAATCTGGCAGCACTCCAAGATACTTTTGTCGAATTGATCCAAACAATTTTCACAAAGAGCTCTTCTCTGGATTGCACCTATCCTTGCATAACAAAACACCTTTTCCATCGTTCGCTCAATATATCTGAATCAGCATCGCATTCAAAAGATTCTCGAGTGTATATGCGCGCGTTCTCAAGTGCCCACTCTGAATTTATTTCAGATAAAAAAGGCATCTCTGGCCGAGGAGACAAGTGCCTTTTTTTTTTCCAGAATTTTTTTTTCCCAGGCATTCAGCATGGTCAATGCTTGTCCTCGTTTGAAGCTTCAACTTTATTTTATCATACGTTGAACGTGTGCCCCGAACTGCGGCACTCCTTCACGAAAGCCTTTCCTTGGTATATAGAAAAATTCACTTTTTATTTCTTATTTCCTTCATCCCCCAACAGTTATATCCTTCCCCACCCACTCGACCGCATGAAACGCTGTTGATTGGCCCCAGTCGATCGACAATTTTCTTCGACGCCGGCGTTTTTTTTTTCTATCGCGAAAAATTCGCCAAATTGCCTCTTTGAGAATCGCTCGTCCCGAAGCAACAGAAAAACGTTTATCCATAGACAAACACGTGTATTTCCGTTTGATCAAGGCTAATCGATGACATTACGTCATTTTGAAAATTTCAAGAATTTCTATTGACGATGAGTATTGAATTGCGCTTGAGGAATATTTAGTTCTCACTGCTCGGGCAGAAAATTACTGGGTTGCAAGTTTGAGATTTTAGTGAAGATGTTCTTTCTCCTTTCCTACATTTCTTTCCTTTTCTTTTTTTTTTCATATCCACATAGCTTATTCCACCTCCTGACACGCGCCTCAATCGAGGTTGCCAGGGCGACCGGAGCGCATAGTCACACGGACTATTGAAGAGGTTAAAGGGGACTTTGCACTTTGACTTTTGCCCGAGAATAAAACCCTAAAAATTGATGAGTAAATCTTCATCCCCTTTTATCCACAACACAGCAACTTAATTATCGGAAAAATCGGGGTGAAATTATACTTTCAAATGCGGACAACCGGACAAATTTGTGGTAGCCAGAAATATATCTATATTTTTTATTCTGTCGCTCGCCAGTTCCTCCCATCTTGAAATGACTCGTAAAAATTGATAATAACTCCTGGCGTGCCATGAATCACACTTTTACACTTTTTTTTTGGTTCCATCGTAGCCAAAGCTCTTTTAGCTCTTTTCTATTTGATATGGAATTTAGCAGATGGATATAGATGGCCTGCCTGGAATATGTGCTGGTCTCAGCGATATAAGAGTGCCGTAAGGGAAACGGAGGTAGGACACGACCGAAATCCGGGGGTGAGATCACCCTTCATCTAGACGGGGCTCCACCAGTTAACAGCTAATGAAAATTAGCTTTCGTCGCTTGATTGAGCGTTAAATCGTTCCTTTCTTGTTTCGACGGGAAATTTGATAAATTCAAAGCTGTACGTAGCATGTACAGCCATTCTCCGATGAATAATGCCAAGTCTGACAATAAATTTTGTCAAGCAAAGGAAGCCACAGGTAATTAATGGAAAGAGTCTGCCAATAACACATGAGTGAGACTCCACAGATCACGTCAGTATATGCTCAACTAAACCGTTGAGTTATACGAGCTTGGAATGTTTTGAAATGACGATAAACAAAACGATAATGGACTGCAGAAGCGAGTATATGACCCCATCTGAATTAACTCTCCCTGTAATAATCTATTTTTTCCCATTGGCCGCGTGAAGAATAATCATGGACGATTGTTGGATTAATTTTCCACCGTCAAAGGGTTGATGTTAATGTAACTCCTTGGTTTAACGGGCGGATGAGTGCCATATATACTGATGGTGGTGGTTTTTACTGACATGAGGCCGACGGCTCAAGACAGTCCCCAAAGGCCCGTCTGAATAAACATATCCGATGTCTGGTTGGGCCACCCAGATGGAACTATTAAAACACTTATGGAGAAAAAATCACTTCTCTGTCGCTGTTAAACACCCTTTTTCACGATAAAAAAATGAGGATGGAAGTGCCGTGTGTATCACACTTGACACTCCACCAGAGCATCCAACGAGCTTTTGTATTTCACCATAATAAATCAGAAGTTTTCATCAAACCAGTCTGTCACATGCTATTTTACGCGGTCAATTGCGCGCTATTCAATTCACTGGGTTACAATGAAAATTCAATATTCCCATGACTGTTTATACATTTATTTACATTTCTAATATACACATGTTTATCTACCCAACATCATATTAATATTTGTAATAAATATATTCAATGAAATTTTTAATAATTCTTGACAAGAAATTTCGCTATCATTATGGTAATTATCTAAATGTTGTAGTTAAAAGATCGAGACTGTTTGCTCCCTCATTACATTTATTTGTTGACGATGAGATTCTCCGGTGGAACTAGTTATTTCTCATGATTGATTTTTGTTATTTGGGTATCACGTGGAATTTGCTCCAATTCGGGAATCCCTGGAACTTGTATGTGAGGTGAATGCAAAGGTGGACAGAGGAGAGGGTGATAAGGAAGGCAGTAGTAAGGAAAAGTGTTTAAAGCTTTATTCGATGGATGGATTTGTGGTGGGCATGCTATTTGTCCGGGTAATTGAAGATTTGCACTGCGAAGTGGTGGAAGCCCTCTGAGATGCTCATCAGGATGAACCAGGACCCTCACAGCAACTCTCCTGGCAGTATTTGAATTTACCAGAGCACCTAACTCCTGCTGCTGGCGTCTCTTGGTCTTGTACCTCCGATTCTGAAACCAAATTTTCACTTGCGTCTCTGTGAGCTTAAGGCCCCTCGCGAGATCGGCCCTCTCCGGCCCCGAGAGATACTTTTGCGCTGCAAATCGCCTCTCCAATTCGTACACCTGAGCATGAGAAAAAGCCGCTCTACTTCTCTTCTTTCGGCTTTGAAGGGACTGGCTGTGGGCCTGAGATTCGTAAAGATCATCCTCGATGTCGTCTGAAAAAAAAAACAAAAAATATAATTTTGCTCTGAAAGACGAGACTATGTTTCAAAGGATTGAATAAGATCCACGGAATTATGAGGAGATATGATGAGACATTTGAAGAGGCTTTTGATCTCTCGTTTCTGGTATCCGCACGTGTGCACTTGTTTACTCCAGCATACTCCACCAATTCCTCTTTACTTAACCAAAGTCAGGTATATAATTTTTACGTCTTGGGCTCCCCACAGACTGTTTAGTCTCGCGAGTAGAATCTTTCCAGTGCAAATGTTAACAAGTATCTCGATTAATCGAAAAGCCAATCCCGTTAAACAGTGGCGGTTTAATGATTGAATCAAATAAAGCTCGTGTTGGAGGCATCGTGAATGTCAAATAATGGGGGAGTTTGATGTGTATACTGATGAAAAAGCAGTGAAAATGTGTAACTCAATATCTCTTTGGTGGAGTGATCACGAAGCAACCATGAACGGAAGTGAGATAGAGTGGTGTAGATCACGATAGCAAGACCATAAACCATTTCAAAGGGGGGGATGAGGAAAGTTTGGATAACAGACATTGACGGCAAAACGGACAAGTGCAAGAAGTTGAGTGTATGAGCCTCCCCTAGGCCACTCGTGACGTCTGCCCCGTCGAGTGGCCACTTATGCTACTAAAATTATATTCAATTACCTTATCGTTTTTCTTGCCCGGATATTCGGGTTAAAAGTTTTCAAACTCTCGACTAACAAGTGGATACGTCTGATTCTGGCCTCAAATTTAACATTAATCGAATCTAAGATATATTAAAGAATCTGCTTACCTAGATATTTGCTCTTGCTCATGTCCAGGGCTTCGTCTTGCTGGCGGCTTGATTCCTTCATCTTTCGGTAAGCGATGCCAAGGCGATCGAAATTATCGAAATTGTTTCTGGGGAGGCTGCCGAAATTGGATAGATTCGCCTGAGCCAAATTTTTTCTGAGTAGATCTAATTCTCGGACTACACTGGCTTGACAATCCGGTGAAGAGGGTCCTTTTCGGAATACTGACCGATTCGATCGCATCTCGTGCTCCAGGGAGCTGCAAGGACTTCTGTCGTACACTGGAAAATCAGAGGTATGTCCGTGTTGGGAATTCTCAGGGAATTCTTCAGGCATCGAGCGACGTAAGTCTGTGGATTCTCCGTGGCTCTTAGAACGACTGAGAATATCCTCGATGCTGAATGGTGTAGGTTGCGCAGCTAATGACGGCTTCGGAGAACCCTGAGGGCTTCCGTTGTCTTCCGTCGCCATCACAATTCCTTATTTCTCAAATCACTTCAATCGCTCATTGAATCACTAAATTACAAGCACACCGAATATCGTTCACAATTGAATTTAAAATCACTTTATTCACTCTGCACCACCGAAATTGTCACTAGTGAAGTGCTACTGTTGGCTTGCACCCTTTCGACTGAGTGTTCTTGTGTCAAGTGCGTGGGGGACTTATTTTTCGAATTAGTGCGCCACTCGACTACCACCACCACTGTCTTACTGGAGGAGAAAAAAAATGTCTCTTGGTCTTGGTGGACCAATTGACGCAGCTATGCAAGCGAGGGTATACCCGAAGGAGCCACCCGGATGTGACACGTAGCTAACGAGTTTCGCGGTTGTTCCCAGGTTGACTCGTTCATGCGAACAAGTAATGATGCCTCTTGGCCACCTATTACTCTCTCTATCTGTTTCACTGATGGGCTCACGCCGTTACGATATCGCGTAGGTGGGGCTTTAGCTCGACATTCTGTGCTTATCGCACACATCGACGAGCCTCGTATCCTCAACAGCTGTCTCACTCTCATTGTCGATGCCTCGCCCCACAGCCAATCCCATCGTTTGACCGCGCACTCGTCTTCCAACCATCAGCCAATCGCGATCCCTGCCCCGAGGAGATTTTCGTGGCAATAGTGGTGGTGATTCAGGCGCCGTCACGACGTAATACTAACCATACTACTTTTTGCGAGGGCTCTCGCCGCCGGAATTATTGAAAAGAGAGGATTCGTCAAACTCTTTCACCGAGATAAGAACTCCACCATGCACATCAAATTTCCTGCCCCCCTTTTTTTTTTTTGCTCTCGCATTCATACGAACACCTTGCTATTTATTTTTTGAATAAACCATTGAGAAAAAGTTGCTTGTAAAATGCCTGGCCATTGGGATTTAGTGAGTAGCTATTTACGCCGGGAAAATCGTTTCCTTTGAAAAGTTTACCGAGAAATTCGAAAAGACACGTCTCAACTTGGTTGAATCGGGACTAACGATTTTGCAAAGTTGAACTACGGCACTCGACTTTTCGCAGGTTGGGAAAACTACTTGGGTCGTACTAGTATCCACCGTTTGACAGATCACTGTTGGACCGCGTAACACCAACCAGGGGTGTTACTTTACATAACAATTGACGCTAAAGACTCGTCGGTATTGTATTGCCACGTGCGAGCACCGGAGTTTCCTATGTAGGTTTAATTAAGTGTGAACCACAGAAGCGGGCACACTACGCCTCACTTGGTACGATGATGGGAATCGCACGGCAATTCTCGTACCAGATCCATTATCGATTCAAGAATGAATTTTATTCCGGTGAAATATTACCAAAAAGCCGAGTGACATTGTGCAAAATCTCTTGATGTATTTATTATCACGAAAACTTTGATGCTACTTAGAAACTAATGGAGACCTTTTTATCTCTTTCGCGATCCAATCGATGATAGATTATAGGGTGGGCCGATGCCGGTACAACTTTATTCCTACTCCAAACGTTAAGGCTCTGGACCCTCCTGCTCAATTGGTCGCAATTCTTAAAGACCTTAATTGGCGCGGAAAATTATACCTTATCTCAACTACCCTAACGTTCCAAATGCTCTTCTCTGTCCTTTATATCTACTAGGAGCAGCACATTCTCTCTTCTCGGTGAGTCATTAATTTATCGCCATTTTCTCAACCACCAATTGATTCAAATTTATTGCTAGTCGTTGGAAAAAATTCTGAGTCAATTTTCCACTGGGATATTTTCATTTTCACCGATAATGAGTTATCGCATTTCAATTATTTAGTAAATCAATTCTGTTGAACTGTATGTGCACATGAACGTTTTCATGCACTGGGAAAAGATTATAAAAGCAAGGAGACCGGATGACTGCTAACTGTTTGTTAGTTTTGGGTTTTAAAGTCCGCATGTCTGTCAGTCCAGAGATGTAATATTAGTGCTTGAGTTTAACTGGTAGGCGTTTGCCACCGCCAACTAACCATCATCCACTGCTGACGTTATGTTCACTCACTTCATCGTCTGTCTATCTTCTTTGAAACTCTGTTTCTAATATACCCTAGCTTTACGCAATCATAACAAAATTAAAGTATTCATTTCGATGCTTTATTGGCGCAGCATGACAATTAAATATTTCACATGTTTTCATTTTCATCGGCGAATAAACGGACCATCGTCTCCTCAGGTGTTAACTGTCAACTGTCAACTGTCAACTGTATTTTTATAGCGCGATAAAAATTTTAATGCAATTGCTAAATTATAGTGGTGATTAATTGGTGTACAGAGGGTTTATTTCAGAATTTGAAATTTAATATGATAGTGTTAGTAGCCCCGGAAGGTCAAAGGGTCTCTATATTTTCGACTGTAGGTGGAGGTCGGAATGGTCGGTAAAAAAAATCTCACCAGTTGGCGCTCACGCGTCTGGGATTCCCCTTCTAACCAACTGGCGGGAATAAATGCATGTATAAAATCTAGAAAATAGAATCTCTGCTGAGTAAATATCCAGGGAGGATTACACTTTCCATCCCTTCCACTTAAGATCATGAACTCGAGAATTTTAATGCGATTCAAGGCCATGTCTTTCAACGGGGGAAAAAGTCATTAAAACTCGATAAATCCGCGGGTTTCAAACCAGTAATTTCCCTCTCCGAAAAATAATTATTTTTGCCTCGAGCCCAGATTTATAGCGAGCGCATGTTTGTCCCTCACATTCGTCCAACAATATCGTATGACAATGTTGAGCTCCGAGTGATGGATTACGCGAATAATGGGATCGTAATGGCGTGTATCTACGAAAGAATCACTGCATCCGAATGCCCATTCATAATTTTTATCCACTGTGTAGGCTTTTAAATATTTTAATGCGTCATACCGAGAGTCAACATTTACTTTTTACAGATGGACTGAGTGAAACTGAAGATCGAGTAAGATTGATAACATTTCCATTTATTCACCATATCACACAAACCTTATGAGACGATCAAAAACAATTGTCGATAAAAAAAACTTAATCAATAATGTCTATTAATATTCTGTAATCTTTGGATAAGTCAACATTTCTCAATTACAATGTCATTAAAAATAAAGAGTATTGCGCACTTGTCTTAATGAATACTTTTTCTCGTATAAAGGTTCACCTTAAGAGTAAATATTTCAACGCCTAAGTACATATCTCTATCCTTCGTCAAGTATCTCCAATAAAATAGAAACTGCAGGTGCACCCCTTATCCACAAACTCTCAGCATGTACGTGGTAGTGGGAAAATAAACGAATCATGCATCACAATTTTATCAGCATGTTCCCATGGCTCATATTAGTCTCAGTAGCACCATATACAAACGGTCGTAAGTCCCACAACACAACGAGGGATCAATGATGCGTACCATTTACGTACAGCCACTTGACTGCCAGATGACCCGTCATGCTCTTGCGATAACCCTAAAAGCACCGGTGGCTTTGCTCAACCTGTCAGAAAATCCCTATTAATAATTTCGATTCCACTATTAACTCAGCAATTCCCAGAAATATCTAAATTTGTCAATTGGAAAGAAGCCGACGCGAGTTAATTCACATAGCGCCTATTCAATCCTTTCATCATCTCTCCCTCTCATTCAAGCTTTTAAATTGCTACCAGAGTCTTTGAATATTTTGTTCCATGGGAATTTGATCGATATAATTAACGTAAGGCATCTGATAATTCTGGGGATTAACGTAATTTGTAAAACTAAAATCATTGGTGGAGATATCAGCAATCGTTCGATTATCGTTACTCAGAATAGTGGATTTGTCATCCGGTGAGTTTGTTTTGAGATCAGGAAACGGTGAAATGTCATTGGGTGTCTTGTACTCGGATTTGATGGGCCTCATCGAGGATCCGAAGGTGGACCGGTAGTCAGTGGTGAAAGGCCTGTGGGGGTCCTGGGGCAGACTCGTGTGATCCCTGAATTCACTTCCTGCGTTGGTCGTGTCCAATCTTATCTCAGGCCCACGGTAATCGGGACTCAAACGTAGATCACCTCCAAATTCACCGGGTATTCCCTGGATATTCACGTCCGGTCTGAATCCACTCCAGTAGTTTCCGCTGCAGGAATCTCTGGTGTTGTGCTTTCCATCCTTTATAAGAATGGGCACTGGAATTTTTTTGATTGACTGGTTCTTCAGTGACTGCGACTGCAGCTTCTCTGCGTCTTCAATTTTTGCGCGTTTATTTTTATATCGGCGATTTTGAAACCAAATTTTCACTTGTGTACTTGTCAGCTTGAGACTGGATGCCAGCACTTCACGTTCTGGGGCGGAGAGGTAACGCTGCTGCTTAAATCGCTGCTCCAGTTCATAGACCTGAGCCTGAATTAAAAAAAAAACACAGAAAATCAAGACAGTTGCTTTTTTTTATCGTGTCCGATTAATTCAATAGACCGCATTATTCCCAAATTATACCTGAGAAAATAGTACTCGTGGTTTCCGTTTCGTTCTCTTTCCCGATTGATTCTTCCGCAATTCCGTTTTACTCGACGTGACGATATTTCCTATAAAAAAAAATTGTCAAATAAAAAATTAATGGTAAAAAAAAGGCGATTATGCTGTCATTAATTAATTTTAATAGATAAAAATAATAACCATCTTCTACGACAGAATTTCCATCGAAAGGGGGTGAATGATTTGCTCCATGATGAATATGATGCAAATCAGTGTAATTCTGGTATGCCATCTGACTGATTTGTGACTGCTCCTTATATTTTTCAATGTCCCAGTGATTATCCTGAATGGCATTGTATCCATAATAATCGTGGGGTGCGTGAAAATTCTGCGACACCTGCTGATGGCTCCCGTAGCAATCCATGGTATCAACTGTCTGGCTCTCGTTTAAAATATCACGAACACTGAATGATATCGAAGCAGGTAACATTTTTAAAACATACCGGCGTATTTAAATCTCTTCGCGCAATTTTTTTGAAACGTTTCACTGTCAGCACTTTGTTTATCACCCGGTGGGGATCGCTTGCACTGTGTCAATGTTCTCGGGGTGCAACGGAGAAAGTATCAACACGATGATCCTTCGAGGGTGGTTTATGGTTGAGTGGTCAGGCCAGAGGGCAAACGTCAAATGTGACTTGGCTTGGCATTCGAGTCGAGTGTAAGTCCCGTGGATGAAAGTGTGTAAGTGAGCTGTTGTCTGTGGGCACCACATATTTACCAGAAACCACCCCCCACCCCCGAAAAAAAAAACAACAAAATCCTCAGAAATTAATGCCGGGCATTATATGCTGAGGATGGATTTTTTGGGAATGTTTTAATTATGCATTGTTCGTTTGCGAATTATTTTTTATTCACCAGCCATACTTTGCAATTCCTATGGGCGGAGACGTGTGTGGTACCGCCTTTACTCTCCATCTCCGCCAATCCCGTGGATATCACCAATCTCGAGGCAATGAGTAACTCTCGATAAAGTTGATTTATCGTTTATAATGGAGGTGTTTTTAAATTTATAGCCCAACTCAATGTTCGAATATTTTTCTTCACTCTGAAATTCAAGGGTGACTATTTCCCGATGCAAGTTCAATAATTTTAGTGTTAAATTGCTAGTTTTTTTCCACATGTAGAAATATTATCATGATGGAAATAAGGGAAAAATAAAACTGCGTATCATGAGAAGAGAATTATGAATTTTCTCATGCCAGTGACGGGCGTCTCGATTCCTTCTTATTTTTCACTCGTCTATATAACATAATCCAGACGCGCATTCGGGTGCCCGAAACTCTTGAGACCTCGTGCGAGGTTTTGAATTTTTCAACTAAATTCGATTGAAAATCCGTCGACGAAATTTCATTGAAATATCCACTATATTTTACCCCTGAAAGTGCGCGTAGCCGATAAATGCAGCCCATTCTGATAAACGCCTCGGATAAACAAGCCGAGTAAATGTTTATTGAACAAATATATCACTTATTTGTGTGTGGTCGGTTTGCAAGGGAGTATTTTTTGTGTTGCCATCAGGCAGAGGATGCAGAGCCAGTGCACGGCGCCAGGAGATATCAGGCGCCTTCTTAACTGTGGGAAAAGACACGAGACAGTCTGACAGAATTGTCACCACTGGAAGAGAAATTTTTTGGCGGTAAGCATCCAAACATATTCAGCGATCAGAAAAAAAAATAAAAATAAGAAATAGAGACATGATCCACTTGACAGCGGACGCCTGCCAGACTCTCCGCTGTCATAGACTATATCATCTGATTTCCACTTATTTCAATAAAAAATTCAACAGAATTGGCAGATTATTGGTGAATATCGGGGATGATGGGGTTTAGCGCAATTGCGTCACGGTTAAATGTAGAGTAAAAAGAATGAACGAGTAGAAGAGAGAAGAGCGCAATGTGGTGTCCAGTTGCAAGGCGCCTCGACGTTGAGGCACAAAAGGGTCCTTTGTATTGGCGTCTCTGTTCTTTTCCTCTCGGTTTTACATGAGCTTTATAGAAAATCCCTATTACGTCTGGTTTGTGGTGTGAGTTGTGTGCCCTCACATGGGGGGTCAGATACCGCCCGTGGTGGACAGTAACAGACAGTTCTGGTCTTTTTCTTCAATTTTTTTGTATCCCTTGTCTCCACGTGACAAATAATCGGAGGTTCTAATTTGTTTGGGTATACCGGAACTGAATTTTCGCAACGAAAGGATCTTTCATATGCAGCACATGCTGAAACGTGTTGATGGGTATTTTTTTTTTTTTCGGATTTTATTGACAACAGCCACTCGAGGGAAATTGGAAATTTCCTGCCGTTTACGTTGCAACACTTCAGGGTGTCGCGACGGTGTCTAGAATGAAAGATCCATACAATTACATGGATCTGGATGTCTAGACTGCGCATCCCTCTGCTGTGGACCAAAGTGGCCAGTTACATTTCCCAGAAACGTCTGGCCAGCTTCAGGAAATCATGGGACACCCAAAATTATGGAATGCCACATCTTCAGCATCGCCTTTTTTATATAATTTTTCTATCGAGAGATCTCAGCATTAAAAATTATTAAAAATTGAAAATCTTTTGCAATATTCAGCATAAGATTATTTTTAAACCAGCGATGATAAAAATGATAAATCGTCTCAGAAAGTCCTTTTAATTTTCTTTCATTTGAAGGCCATCATCTCGTATCAATAAATTGACGAAAATTACCGAAAATTCATGTTCCATCGAAGGGTAAATCGAATAAACTCTGGGCAGTTCATGCCGACGAATCCCTAGTGGATCGATACGAATCGGTAACCTTGAAAGATACTTGAGGAGATTTCACCGACCGTCGATAAGTCACCAGCTACAGACACGAATAGAAGAAATATTTCCAATGACTTGTTGATGAAGAAGACCACAGATGGCAAGACCAAACCACCCTGGAGTGATTTGGATATTGAGTCATTTAATACGACTTAATTAATAATGTGGACGTCCGGGTGTGGAGACCACACGCACTCATTTCCTCCGAGAATAACCCCCTTGGAATCTCATAACGCATTCCAGATTGCCGTCTCACTCCATAAACTCTCAATTCTTCCTTAATGAGTCATTATTCTTTATTACCCCGGTCAAAAATCCACTTGTCCGAAAACTTGCCTATCAACGATACAAACATCGTGGCAGCTCATTACTCTCCACAAGAAATTTCTTGCCAATCATGGTGAACCTAATAATATCGAACCCATCGAGCCCAGATGATGGAGATAGAAAAATTCAAAAGAAAGCCGACCGAGCCGAGAGTTCCTCAACCCATGTCTCGGTTGGCCATCATCATTATCTCCATACGATCTGTCTGGTGAGAGTAGTAGCAGCAGCCCAAGACTTATCTCCACTTCTACATGTTCATTTTTATCCACGTGCATATCTTCGATTATTATTTAGGTTTGCACCAGAGGGGGTGCCAGAGACCCAGGGTGGTCCAATTTGTCTCAACTCCTCAATATTGTTACGAGCTCATCTCCAATAATATAGTCTCAACCAGGAACTCATTTGTTATCTCCGGAGGTCATTATCCTCCAAAAGCGACAGCATACATCAATTTTCCTCAATAACTAGGAAAATATTTCTTGTATTTTTTTTTTTTTCATCTCAAGACTGATTGAATCGACATGTTTGTCAGCCTCGTTGCCGAGTAATTACGCAAATGCGAACGACTCCATGAAGATTACAGTCATTAATAATTTCCAGACGATTATTAATTGTCGATGTCTGCTCTAATTATTCCTTATTTTCTGGTTCGTCTGATAATTACGGTGAATAACACAGTGGTATATTAGAAAGCATGAGCTGCAATTGATTCATCGAAACGACGGAAATTTCACAAAATGATATTTAGCCTCACCAAGAAAACGTCAATCGTCGCGTGTTCTATTCTCTCAGCTCTATTCTAATGTTAACTGAGGCGAAACAATGGTGCAACATCACAATAAGGAGTTCCCTTTCGAGCAGACGATTCGTACGGTGATTTGAGATTACGCAAATGCGAATAGCAAACGGAATCCGGTAAACGTCAGAGGTGGAGGTAAAATATATGTAGATTAGAAATAGAGTTTGAGGCTCGTTTGTTAAAATGATAATAGGCTTATCATGTCGTAAGAGGGTATTGGTGTGAATTACACAAGATTAGTGGGCTGTAATATTCAACGTCAAATTACTCACAATCATTTCATCAACAAAAATAATCAACCCCACGATTTCCGTTGTATCTGTTTGTCTCAATTTTTTTTTTAACAATTTTTTTCCCTACAAATTGCTTATCGCCGTTGACAGACCGTTCACCGTCTTATCTGCGCTGACCCTCCTCTGAGCTTTTTCTCAAGATTTTTTTGCCCCCACAGAGTCGTTCAATAACTTGGCTCGCTGGTAGCCAGTGTGGATAACCCCGTGAGAGTTCACAATCATAAATACTTATTTAATCGTTTATTCTTGGGATGAAGCTGTCAAATATCGAAATGATATGGTGGCGGCTTGTTGAGAGACGACTGATGAGCATTTCTCGGTGCATTAGATCAATGTGTGAAAAAAAAAATTCTCGAGTGATGGGGGGAAAATTGTTGTGCATTAAATGGCTGATGAGAGTTGTGGAGAAAATTGAGGGAGCATCCTGTCAGCGCAACGAATTGTGCCTCATTATTCCCGAACGTCGGTTCAACCGACACGCTCAATAATCTGGCGTAACGCGCCCGAAAATTGCCCGCAAGCTAACTCACTCTTATTCCACTAGTTGCTTGGACTCACCAACTTACCAAACAAGTCAAAAAATCCAATAGGCAATGAAAAAAGAACCGAGCGGTCACGGTGTGAAGCGAAATCAAAGCCGACATAAGAAAAACACGAGAATTCAAATAAAAGTGATAAAACCAGAGCTGAGAGACAGCATGGATAGAGTAACTTATCCCTCAGATCTTTATTTCTCATCAACTAAATGCATTTAAATCACTCGTATTTATAATGATTTAATTAGTGAGAATGAGATAAAGACGTAAATTGTCAAATTGAAATGATGAGTTATTTTGAAAACAAGTGTATTGATGGAAAAGAGGGATAGGAGTGAGGGAGAAAGCTGAATGTTGGTATAGGCGGCTAGAACCTATACCCTGGAGTGACCCCCTGGTGGGTAATATATAGTGGGCTAAGTTCCTTTGAGAGGCGCGGTTCTGTCTCCACCATTCAACCTTCCTGACCATCTTCCAGAGAAGAAATTAATAAAACTAAAAAATCCAACTCCGAGTGGATGAAAAAAAAAAGGAGAAATACACCTCGGCTGACCATAATTGATACGAATGTCTTTTCGGCCCGTGCGCGTTTCGCTCGAACATATCTCCCCTTCGACTTATTTAAATTGTTGAGAATGTTTTGACCTTCGCCAGGCGCCCGTAACAACTGGTAAAAAGACGTTACTCC